GTGTGTGTGTGTATTTGTGTGTGTGTGTGTGTGTGTGTGTGTGTGTGTGTGTGTACGGAAGTGGGTAGCCATTCGGTTCCCTACCTTTACGGATTCATTTGAGATCCGATACTTTTGACAGTAGAAAAGCTTTTCTTTTTTCATGTGTTCTGAAGTTGAAGAACAATGTGTGTGTTCATTTTTAATATCCGATACTTTCGCCAGTTGAACGACCTTTTCACGATTCTTCCAAAATCTACCCATTTCTTTTTTTTTTAACACAAAAAAACATCGACCAGGGTGCTCTTCAAAAGCCACCCTGTTCTCAAGTTGAAGAACAACGTATGCGTACACACACACACACACAGAGAGAGAACGGCGTAGAACCATGCAAAAAGCTATTCAACTGCGGCAAAAATGTACGATACCAAAGGAATTCTGAAAGGTAGGAAAGCGACCGGCACCCCAGGGCTAAAATGCAGGAGCCCTGCAAAATAAAAGAGTCTCTACAACTTGAAAGCAGGCAGGGAGTTAAATGAGGTTGCAAGGCATCACCCTCTTAAACAGAAAAAGGATATTAAATTTTGGTCCACTACTCGCCAAATGTGGAAAAAAAACTTCGTAAGTGGTCAAGTGTGCTAAACAGACTAAGTACTTCGAAAAAAAAAAAAAAAAGACTAACTACTTCGATGCACTACCAGTGAGGTCTCATTTTCTCCATTTGAAACTGGAAAGAATCCAAAAAATACAATTGTCGATTCTGAACCTTCCCATTCGGTGAGTTGTGGACCAAAGCACACCCTGAAAACCACCACCACAGTGACCACACCTCTCTCTCCCCTTCCCTTCCCCCCTCCCTTCTCCACTCTCCCCCACAAACTCAAATGGAACGCCTCTTCCTCGTCTGTTTACACACACACACACACACACACACACACACGTACAGATGGCAGTCCCACGTGCGGGCGAAGGCGCAGCGGCAGCAGCGCGCACACACACACACACACACATTTCCACTCCTTACCGTGAGCATGGCAACAGCCCAGCAGAAACTGCAGCTTCTCTTCACACCATCTCATGAACTTTGTCAGTTGCTCGGTCGTGTAGAACGGCTGCGAAGAGAGCAAACAAATAACGACGGCAAGCAACAGAGAATCAGAAGAATCAAAACCCCTCAGCACCTCAGTTCTCACACGCCTGAGCCCTCAGACCTTAAACTACATCGGATAGATTCAAATATCAATGACCATAACAAGTCGGACCCGATGCGACTCCGTTTGCCGCAAGGCAGGCACAGTTTAATATAAAAGAGAAGAAGAGAGAGTGCAATCCAGAAAGTAAGGAAATTTTGCAATGGGCATACGGAGTCACACCGCTGACCTCACCCGAAAACCATGTGGAGGGATATGTCCGGCGCAGGCAGAGTTCTCTCTCTCTCTCTCTGTGTGTGTGTGTGTGTGTGTGTGTGTGTGTGTGTTGGGAGATTGCCATGGCCGTACCAACTCACATGATTGACCTCACCCGAAAACCATATGGAGGGATATGCCTTTCGCAGACTCTCTCTCTCTCTCTCTCTCTCTCTCTCTCTCTCTCTCTCTCTCTCATGGCTGTACCACCTCACATGATTGACCTCACTCGAAAACCATATGGAGGGATATGCCTCTCTCTCTCTCTCTCTCTCTCTCTCTCTCTCTCTCTTCTCCTCCCCACCCCTCCCGTGTGTGTTTACATGCATGCCACGTGCAACAGGAAATTGCCGATCAAAACAACAGTGCTACCAGAATCAACGAAACTATTCTCCCAGCCCTGGACCACCAGCCGCTGCTGAAAACAAACCCCAAAAAGAACATGCGAGACCCATCATTCGCTTTACGAAGCTAAAAATACATGAACGATTCGCGAACAATCTCAAAAGACCACAATGATAAATCGTAAACCCAAAAGGCCAAATTACATGCAGACGAGCATCTGCAATTTAGAAGCACATTAAAAGCTTTCAATCTTTCTTAAACTTTCACATTGCGAGCGGGAACTCGAAGAGTTCGTCACAAAAAGACAGTTGATACAGTTGATACAGTTGATGTTCTATTTCCTTACAGGTTCTGTATATAGCCCACATCTCTGTCAGATTCCCTTGTGCGTGTTTTTTTTCCCGCAGAAGCAACACTTTGGAGAAGGTCGGCTTCGCGGAAGCGGAACTTCAGAGAAGTTCGGACTTAGTCATTCTCTACAGATGCCATCCGTGCAGAGGGACCATCCTCGTTCTTTACTCGTCTTCTAAAGGGCAACGGCTTAGGGGTATAATTATCAAACCGACCAGCCCCAGGTAATTCAGAGTCATTTTCTTCCATCAGAATCCGAACTCAGGTCAGCAGAGTTAATATATGGGTGTATGTATATACCATTATGGACCATTCTTCGCTTTTTTTTTGTTTTTTGTTTTTTTTTTTTCTGCGGAGGGACTTTTCTAAACTCCTTTCATTCCCATTTTACAAAGATGACCCCACAAACGAGGGGCCCTTTTTCTCCGAGTGGACCAAGGCCATATGGCTCAAGCGACAGTCGCAAGCGGTGGAAGATAAGATCAGGGTAGGGGGATAAAGAAGAAGCCGCTACCTGACGAAGTGCTGTCTGAAGATAAGGCACACGCAGAAGCATCCCAGTTCTCTTGTCGTGCTTCTTCAGGATTTTTGCCAGGCCAGTGTAATTAAGGGAGCTGTAATTCTCAAGTAACACCTGAAACACCACCAACAGTCAACAGAGCATGACACAGCAAAACCACAGACAGTGCGGCGCACGGATTAGCCTTTGAGATTTGTGGCACAATAAAGCAAAAACACAGACTGGACCCGTTTTCCAGCAGGTGCAGCTCTCCACCCACCAATAGACGGAGCAAGCAGTGATGAAAAGTACTCGAATGGACAATGCAGTGTCAGCAAAGCATCAACAAGCAATGTACATCCAGATACATATTAAAATAGCACAATGTAGCGCAGCGGAAGACTCAGAGATATGACCTGACCTGTAAGATACCGATGCGACACCCCATCATACACCACACATGTGAGAGAGAGAGGAGGGACCGCATACATAGACGAAAGGTCCTTCCCTGATCACGCACATGGGGAGATACCACGGATGAGGAGACGGGGGGGATAGGCGAGACGAAGATGGAGACAAGGGAGAAGACCAAGACCGCGATAGCGAAGTCCAAAAATAGTCTCCCTGCCGAATGTCCAATCAATGTCCGCCACAAAATGTCGAATCAGATCCTTGGCCTCACGGCCCGATGTAACCTCTGCCTGTAACCTCTCTCTCTCTCTGAAAGAAGAAGAAGAAGAAGAAGAAGAAGGAGGGAGGGAGAAGAGATGGAGGGCGAGATGAAGAAGAAGAAGATGTCGCCCTCCTCCCTGTCTCACCTGCAGATAACTGCCGCCATGTACTAACTGGCGCGGTGCTCTCTCTGTGCACTTCGCTGGTGATAAGGTCAGCCATGGCACCCAGGTAGGAGCTCCGCCGACGCAGGTAAGGTCTCCACCTCACTCCATACCTAGACCTCTACCTCTAACGCAGCGTTGTCGCGCTGCTCCAGAAGTGAGCTACTTGAACTGTGTGTCTGCCCTGGCGTGGCTCAGCTATAAGTAGCACTGGGCCTCGCAGGTGTTCCTCCGTGTGCCTCTGGCCCTGGGCTCAATACGGCCTGCCTGGGTCCCTACCGGACATCCAGGCCCTCCCTGCTGATGCAGCAGGGGGCGTCCACTACCGGACAAAACTGGACCTGGCCCAAAAGGGCCTGCTTGTGTCCGTACCAGGCCAAAAACGTGGCCTTTGTCCGACCAGAGCGAAAGTCTGTTCGAACGAACTGCAAGTCCCAAACGACACCTGAACAGAAAAAAAAACAGGACAGCAAATAAATAAATAATTAATAAACAAATAAATAAATGAATGCTGCCTCAAATCGAAGCCTGCAGCCCTAAGGCCGGCCGTAGGCCTCCAGGGCGCACGTCTGAGGGGCGTGCGGCCTGGGGCCCCCCAGCAACCGTCGGGCCCCTAAAACGGGGCCTGCATGCAGGCTCAGCATGTAATACCCAAACAGAGGGGTTCGAGGCATCATCCACTTCGCTGCACCATTTGCCTCCACTTCTACTGGGGTGTGAGGGAGGCAGGGAAGGGTTGCATACCAGTTCCCCATGAAATGTGACAATATCTCTTCGCACATCATTAACCGACTCGGCACACTTCTGGCATTCAGTGACATCGTCTGCATCACAAGCCGCCGTCTGCGTGTCAAGCACCAAGCAACAAAAAAAAAACACATGCAGAAGAGACAAACCACAAAAGCACACAGCAC